CCTGTAACCTGGGACCGTCTGTGCTGTGGGGCTAATGCCTGTAACCTCTGTGCTGTGCTGTGGGGCTAATGCCTGTAACTTGGACCCTCTGTGCTGTGGGGCTAATGCCTGTAACCTGGGACCCTCTGTGCTGTGGGGCTAATGCCTGTAACCTGGGACCCTCTGTGCTGTGGGGCTAATGCCTGTAACCTGGGACCCTCTGTGCTGTGGGGCTAATGCCTGTAACCTGGGACCCTCTGTGCTGTGGGGCTAATGCCTGTAACCTGGGACCCTCTGTGCTGTGGGGCTAATGCCTGTAACTTGGACCCTCTGTGCTGTGGGGTTAATGCCTGTAACCTGGGACCCTCTGTGCTGTGGAGCTAATGCCTGTAACTTGGACCCTCTGTGCTGTGGGGTTAATGTCTGTAACCTGGGACCCTCTTTGCTGTGGGGCTAATGCCTGTAACCTGGGACCCTCTGTGCTGTGGGGCTAATGCCTGTAACCTGGGACCCTCTGTGCTGTGGGGCTAATGCCTGTAACCTGGGACCCTCTGTGCTGTGGGGCTAATGCCTGTAACCTGGGACCCTCTGTGCTGTGGGGCTAATGCCTGTAACCTGGGACCCTCTGTGCTGTGGGGCTAATGCCTGTAACCTGGGACCCTCTGTGCAGTGGGGCTAATGCCTGTAACTTGGACCCTCTGTGCTGTGGGGTTAATACCTGTAACCTGGGACCCTCTGTGCTGTGGGGCTAATGCCTGTAACCTGGGACCCTCTGTGCTGTGGGGCTAATGCCTGTAACTTGGACCCTCTGTGCTGTGGGGTTAATACCTGTAACCTGGGACCCTCTGTGCTGTGGGGCTAATGCCTGTAACCTGGGACCCTCTGTGCTGTGGGGCTAATGCCTGTAACCTGGGACCCTCTGTGCAGTGGGGCTAATGCCTGTAACTTGGACCCTCTGTGCTGTGGGGTTAATACCTGTAACCTGGGACCCTCTGTGCTGTGGGGTTAATGCCTGTAACCTGGGACCCTCTGTGCTGTGGGGCTAATGCCTGTAACCTGGGACCCTCTGTGCTGTGGGTCTAATGCCTGTAACTTGGACCCTCCGTGCTGTGGGGTTACTGCCTGTAACCTGGGACCCTCTGTGCAGTGGGCTACTGCCTGTAACTGTAACCTGGACCCTCTGTGCTGTGGGGTTAATACCTGTAACCTGGGACCCTCTGTGCTGTGGGGCTAATGCCTGTAACTTGGACCCTCTGTGCTGTGGGGTTAATGCCTGTAACCTGGGACCCTCTGTGCTGTGGGGCTAATGCCTGTAACCTGGGACCCTCTGTGCTGTGGGGTTAATGCCTGTAACCTGGGACCCTCTGTGCTGTGGGGCTAATGCCTGTAACCTGGGACCCTCTGTGCTGTGGGGCTAATGCTTTCCTATTAAATACAATATCATTGTGTCCCCCTTGATGGCACTGACGCACTGCGAAGACCTATAACAAGCAATGTCTAACGGCTGACTGCAAATACGAAGGGTCACTCCTAGTAGCATTAGAATGTTACAGTGACTTTGACAGTGGATTAACATTGCAGCCATTTGAAAATAAAAATATTACACTAAGGTATAGAAGACCCCTCAGAGCTGTCAGTCTTCCCGAATGCCTGCGTCTGTTCTGTCTAAAATGTGCGTTCAGCATGTGGACCAAGCTCTCTCCAACAGGGAGAGGTTTGCGATGTGCAGTGACGCACATGTGTGATTGGGGGTCCTGCAGATCATTACACAGTGCGCTAGAATACGTGAAAACTGAGACAGCATGAAATGGGTTCCATGAGATCACAAAGCACCCAATGCGATGAGACCCCACCGAGCAGGATGTGGGAACTGGCAGGCAGCTTAGAGAAACTGAGAGTTTCCAGATCTTGGAAGGTAGACGATTTATTTCCGATTTATTTAATGCATTATAAACAGAGGGTCACTGTAACCCCATTTCCCTTTAATCTGACGTAATGAAAAAAGCAGCAGTGAATATTGCTTTTCTAATATTTGCACACACAATTACACAAATAAAAAAATAAAAAAAGTATACTCACAGCCACGGCTTTCAGCGACTGAACGACGATCCAATGAATTTCATCAAATAGTTTATCCGTCACCTCTCTCCCTCTTGTGCTCTCCAGGTACAAACGCAAATTACTCACGGTCCATTTCCCACCATGAATGTGGTTGTAATCATCCTAGAAGAAAAATAAATAAATAGATAAACGTAATACACACACGCGAAAATAATAATTCTGGGGGCGGGGCCTGACTATCATGGCGACTGGATGGGTTCTCAGAGAGCTCCTCAAGAAAATCTGAAAAAGAGCCTATTTACTTGCTGTTCCAGCTGTTCTCGCAATTTGCAACATACCTTCTGTTATACAAACCGATTGACCAGTCTGGGTGTGCTACCCGCGGTCTCCTGTGTCTGTCCAGATGCCAATTACCTGTGTGGCCTAGTGTGTGCTGAGTGAGGGAGAGACGGATGATCTCCTGGCCCGGTGCAGGCAGGGATCCTGAAAACAGAACCAACGCCACGCAACTCCCCCTTTGACCAGCGGGGGTGATCCTGGTCCCCACCCCAGAGGCTCCCACAGCCCAGCAAGGATCTGTGGTAGTGCCCCAGAAGTCAGCGATACTGCCAGAGGTGCATCTGAAATGGTGGCTGCCACGAACACCCTGGATTCCTGCAATGAGGCACCTACTATTATACAACGCCTGAAAGCACCTACTATTACGCACCGCCTGGAGGCACCTACTATTACGCACCGCCTGGAGGCACCTACTATTACGTACCGCCTGGAGGCACCTACTATTACGTACCGCCTGGAGGCACCTACTATTACGTACCGTCTGGAGGCACCTACTATTACGTACCGCCTGGAAGCACCTACTATTATATACCGCCTGGAAGCACCTACTATTACGTACAGCCTGGAAGCACCTACTATTACGAATCGCCTGGAAGCACCTACTATTACGAACCGCCTGGAAGCACCTACGATTACGAACCACCTACTATTATGAACCACCTGGAAGCACCTACTATTCCGCACCGCCTGGAAGCACCTACTATTATGAACCACCTGGAAGCACCTACTATTACGCACCGCCTGGAGGCACCTACTATTACATACTGCCTGGAAGTACCTACTATTACGTACCGCCTGGAAGCACCTACTATTACGTACCGCCTGGAAGCACCTACTATTACGTACCGCCTGGAAGCACCTACTATTACGAACAGCCTGGAAGCACCTACTATTACGAACCACCTACTATTATTAACCACCTGGAAGCACCTACTATTACGCACCGCCTGCAAGCACTTACTATTACGCACCGCCTGGAAGCACCTACTATTACGAACCACCTACTATTATGAACCACCTGAAAGCACCTACTATTACGCACAGCCTGGAAGCACCTACTATTACACACTGCCCAGAAGCACCTACTAATATGCACCGCCTGGAAGCACCTACTATTACGCACCGCCTGGAAGCACCTACTAATATGCAGTATGTCAGCAAGTCCTGAGGCCACAAAACACAAGCTGAAGCACATGGGTCGTGCAGCAAGATGTAGGGATATGAGGAAAGCAGCTACAGATGCAGAACCCACAGCTATCACCCTTGGCTATGAGAAGACAGTCAGAATCAAAGTGGGACTGTAAATTATCTATCATAGGAATAGGCTGACCGCCATCCTGAGCCTCTGGTTGCCTGATATGCCCCAGTATACTGATTTCTCCATGCTCATTATTGTTTCCTAGTTGATATAACTAATTCGTTTTTTTTTGTCTACAATCTATGTCTATGCTCTCCTACTGAAAATGCAACATTCTGGGCTTATAATATATCTCTAGGGTGGTAAAATCTGCTGATATCTTATGCTTACCATGTCTTTCTAAAACCCATCTTACTATAGTTAGCGATTACATCTAGACATGTAATGCTTTGCACATTTCCTACATAATATAGCAATATGCCGAATTTTCAAGCCATGTAACAATTTAATATCTATGTTTAGGTACCTGTGGATGCGGTCGTGGCATTACAAAGCGGTCTGTATTTACACCAATGCACAAGAAAAATAAAGAATGAAAACAAAAATAATAATATTAATAATTCTACCAATGCAAAGAGTTTTGCTAAAACATAAAAGCATTATGGCTGCAATTCCACATATAACCACATGGGGACTCACTCAATGTTTCCTACATGAATTGACATTTTTGGGCTCCTTATTTGGTGATCAAATTCCAGCCCATTGCAAAGTTAACTGGACAGTTTGGGCCAGGCTGTGTGATAAAGGTGGTCTGAGCAGTGGAATATTTATAGAAATTAGTTCACGAGGAGCGAGTTTACTCTGCACCTCACATGTTCTCTACCTGAAGCAGGAGATCTGTATTTATCAACTCTGCTTTCCTATCAGCACGCCAAGTAAGACAATCATTAGCGCTGGAGAGACCACTTACTGGAAGTGTTTAGGGCAGTACAGAACATGGCTTGGTCGCAGGCAGGAAGAAATAAATACTTACGCCATGTTTCTGAATGGCGACGTTTGTAAGATGCACAAACATGTTGTCCAGCTCACTCGTATTGGGGGTGTATTTCACGGTGCAAAACCTGCAAAACCCCAGCTTGTACCTACAAGAAAACAGAGACCGACATAAAGCTTGATAATAAATAAAAAATAAATCTTATATGTACTGCACAATCTAGATCATGCTATATGTCATAGAACATTTATTAAATGTCACATTTTAATCAGCTAAGCAAACTTAAAGGGACACTATAGTCACTCAGACCACTTCTGTTCAATGAAGTGGCCTGGGTGCCAGGTCCCTCAGGTTTTAACCCTTCAGATGTAAACATAGCGGTTTCAGAGAAACTGCTATGTTTACATAGCAGGGTTAATCTAACCTCTAGTGGCTGTCTTTCTGACAGCCGCTAGAGGCGCATCTGCGATGCTCGATGCGAAATTCGCATCCAGTGTGCAGAACGTCCATAGGAAAGCATTAAGAAATGCTTTCGTATAGACTGTTTGAAAGCGCACGCGGCACTTGCCACGCATGCGCATTCCGCTCCACTCGGGAGATGACGTCAGCGGGGGAGGAGCGGTCACCAGCGCCAAGGGTGCCCGGCGCTGGATTAAGGTAAGCGCCAAGGGAGGGGGACCCTGAGGGTGGGGGCACCCTTAGGGCACTATAGTGTCAAGAAAACGGGTTTGTTTTCCAGACACTATAGTGAAACTTTAATATACACAATGTACAGATTTGGAAATATTGAGAAACATCAAACTCTGACCAAGCTCGCCGGATAAGAGATCTATGTGTATTTGCATTTAACCCAGAATCCTTTGCCATCTGTCTGTCCCATGTCTACATGGTACAGAATGAGTAGCCCTGTAAACACAATTGTGAATGTATCTTACATGTAACATTTCAGGGGCCGATAGGTCGTCACAAGCACATACAAGCGCAGGTCAAACTTCTTGCCCCCAATAAGTAAAGGGTTATCGATATATAAGGAGATGACATAGGCTTCCTTGGAGGATTGTGAAACAAACCTGAAATGACACTTTGCACAATCAGACAGGGACACCGCACTGCACAAATGTATAGCTACAGCATCAATTATGGATTACAAGACAAGGGTGACTGCATTAGTAAACAATTATTCATTGTAAAAAGATAATAACCTGAGCATAAAACACATCCAGTTAGTTGTTAATAAAAAGATATACAAATCAAGTAATGCAATCTTATCAAAGGTTATATACTAAAAGGTAAAGTGTGATTATAAGAGTCCATTTCTAAATGTAAACCAGAATAACGGGACTGGACAAATGGCTGAAATGTGATTCAGGTATTTTATCCCAATATTTAACATTATTTTAGCTCTCCCTGTTTACAAAGTAAACCATGGCTGGAAAATAAATGCTTCGTTGATTGACAACAGATTCTGGTTTGAGAATAGGCAAGTTCCTATTTGAAGAAAAGTCAACTATATTGTCTACATCACCTGTGCTTAAACCAGTATGATCTCAGAGAGGTACTTTATACGGGGTTCAATCACTCAACACACGTAGTAAATCAAAATCAAATTGCAAATGTACTCATTTGGAAAAGGCTCAGCTTATTATAGGCCACAGAAGGCAAGATGGTTTTTAATGCACTTTAATTACTTGTTTAATGTAAAAAAATAAAATAAAAATAAAGTAAAAACAAACAAAAAAAAAAAATCGTATCCAGGGTAAGCACATGGGCAATCGAACATCACATCAATCTGCAATTTATCCCATGATTAATGGGAGTTAGAGTCACATTACAGACTGTGCACGTATTCGCTAAAACCTCATCCAATAAAACACATTTAAAGCAAAAGGAAAATCCTCTTTTAAAGAATTTGCTGATTTTTTTCTGGGCTCTCTAAATGGCTTAAACATTTAATAAATGATAAAAAAAAATTATATTAATATTTATCAGTATAAAAAAAAACAAAAAAAAACCTGTTTTCATGCACGGCACAGTAGCTCTAATAAAAGGAAGTAACTCACGATGACGTTTTGCTGTCTCTGGACCATTTTTTAATCTGTGATAATTTATTAATAAGAAATATCCCTTTTCCCTGAGCTTTGCCACATGGTTTCATGATCCAAGTGCTTGAAGGATTCTTCCTAAATTCTTCCACAAACAGGTTATAATCAGCAGGCAGCATGAAGGTGACGGGAACAAAATCTACAGGAAGAAATACAGGTTAGAGAGAGGTTTATCATACAATACGATATAGTATTCTTCATTTATTCCAAAACCTGCATGGAACAGGCCATCACTGGGGTTGGGAGGGTAAATATAGTAAAAAGTACCGGAGATTAATACAGGGCCCCATCAAGCAAGAAAACCCAGATCTGATGGTTATGGTGTAAGGAAGTCCCCGTCTCCCTGCACACAGTGTAGAGGACTTCTTCAGGCTCCCAAAACCAGCCAAAACCCACCACAGCTACAAGGGACGTGGTGGTCCAATCTGAGAACGGCCGAGATAGGGCCGCCGTTGCTGCCGCTGTCAAAGAAAAGAGTCATCTTTTTCCCTTTAAATCAATGCAACTTACTTTCTTTGCTGACCTTTCTAATGGAACGCCAGCCTGGAGGAGATCTCTTCAGCCCTTCACCACCATGCTGAGACCGCATGCAATCCGCTACAGATGGAATTTTCCTGCATTTTTCCTATGGACACTCGCAACTGCCCGTCCAGGACATCAAGGAAGCAGAGACTATTATATGGACTTTGGGTCTATCACAGGACTGGCTGCTCCTTCATATCACTGGGTCCATCCGCTATAACCCCGTTCATAACAAGGAGACCCACTCCTGAACGACCTGAGGCTTATAATTGATGGCTGTAACCTTTCAGATTACACCTGGCACAGCCGGAATCCCGATAGTTTCAACGTTTATTTTGATTTTAAGGTTTATCTGATTTTATGCTGAAATGGTCTTTTTATTTACTCCATCACCTGATGGCTCTGTATTAGTCTGCGCGGCTCCATTAACCCACCCCCCCACCTCAAGACCTTTCAGTAAATACTGCACTAGATCTGATAACTGCGAGATCCTTTCCATAGTTATCGACTCACTTTGCGCTTACTAAGCCATATGGTATACTGTCCCAATGGTGGTCTTCTAGCACTCTAGACCTTTCAGATGTACCATACATATATATATATACACACACACACACACACTATATATGTCATAAAACCCTCCGTTTACTTAATTTCACCATTTAATTTATACATATACAAAACATAAAAATAAAATAGATTCAACAAAACAAAAACAAAAAAAAGAGATAAGTACACATAAAAAATCAGGGATGGGAGGACAAAAATCATACTTGCTCTAAATTAAAAATTAATTCATAATAATATTAAGCATTACAGAAACACTCAGGCACCATAACAACTTAATTGAGATGACTGTATTTATGGACAGTAAAAGAATACCTATAATCTATGGGGTTAGTGAGCACATGAACCGAAAGGCTGGCTTTGCATCATGGGAAGGGTAGTTCTGTAACACCAGTTATTGAAATCAAGTCGATAAGTTGGGGGATAAATACCTAAATAGAGATATTTCCCATTTTCATCCTTTTCAGCTAAAGGACTGCCTTCTTTCTCCAGCTCCTTCCTGTATCTCTTTATATTCTTTACCATTAAATCTTTTCGAGTCAGCTCGTAATGATTAGGAAAATGGTTAACAAGCTGATCATCTGAGAGACGAAATCCGGTCTCCACACTGAAACAATTCCGAATAGTTTGTACGCTCATCCTGAAACAGAGAAATCTCACTTATATCTCCACACCCACTGCGTGGAAACTCACCATGTGGAAGGAGCTCAGACATTACAATTATTATTATAATTATTCATAAGCCAATGGTTCTATGGGGTCAATGATTTCAAAATGTTAGATTTGATTTTGCATTTCAGCCATTTAGAAATATAAAAAGATTATTCTTAAAAAAAAATAAAAAAAAATAATAATCCTTGGGCTGCGGGGGTTAAATTAATTGACATGGTACGCTCAGGACTGCGGAGGTTAAATTAACTGACATGGTACACTCAGGACTGCGGAGGTTAAATTAACTGACATGGTATGCTCAGGACTGCGGAGGTTAAATTAACTGACATGGTATGCTCAGGGCTGCTTGGGTTAAATTAATTGACATAGTACGCTCAGGGCTGCAGGGGTTAAATTCATTGACATGGTACGCTCAGGGCTGCGGGGGTTAAATTCATTGACATGGTACGCTCAGGGCTGCGGGGGTTAAATTCATTGACATGGTACGCTCAGGGCTGCGGGGGTTAAATTCATTGACATGGTACACTCAGGGGTGCGGGGGTTAAATTCATTGACATGGTACACTCAGGGCTGCGGGGGTTAAATTCATTGACATGGTACACACGGGTTTTAGAAATTAACATAAGGCATAGAAAGGCAATTTTGTTTAGAATCTTGCAATTAAAGAAAGGTGAACAGCGCATTGCATGAAAGGGTTAAACCAGTCCTTACCAGTAGAAGTTCCAGTCGTCACTATCAGATACTTGCACCCATCCTCGCTTTTCAAAATTATTAATAAGCACTGATTTTTCAATATCCGTCACCCATTTCAGTTTCCCTGCCATCGCCTGGGGAAGAGAACCAATTATGAGCAATTCAAAAATGTGTAATTATACTCTGATCAGCCACAGTATTAAAACCACCGGCAGGTGAAGTAAATAGCGTGGATTATATTGTTACAATAGCACCGGTCAGGAGGAGGGATGTAAACATTTCATATGTTGGAAGCAGGAAAAATGGTCAAGTGAAAAAAATCCGAGTGACTTTGACAAGAGCCAAATAGTGATGGCTAGACGTCAGAGCATCTCCCAAACGGCCAGTCTTGTGGGTACTCACACAGTACGATGGGTGCTCATTGCAATATGAATGTATAATAAAAGGAAGCTGGAATATCTACATTAAAAGACTGTGAGTGCATTTTTTTTTTATTTCTTTCTCTCTCTAATTTTATATATGTATATAAACAAAAGAGCTGCTCTCACCTGAACATGCATACATTATAGGGTGCTGCTGGGGCCAATATATACAACATACACAATCCAGTGCACTTGCTTATTCCCTAAATAATGATTTAAATCTCACAGATTGTAAACGTTTTATTTAAAAAAACTGCTAGAGTAGGACCTGCCAATAATGGGGTACATTGACGTTGTGGCAGGCTTATGCAATATATGATCATATAATGTAACTAAACCCCCATTATTTTTACCTAGGTGAGGTGTTTTTAAATAAAACTATTACAATCTGTGAGATTTAAATCATTATTTAGGGAATAAGCGAGTGTGCTGGATTGTGTATTTTGTATGGTGTGTGTGTGTGTGTGTGTGTATATATACACACATTTGTGGTCACTAGCATAAAACCCGGATAAAAGCTGCAAAAGGATGCAATGAAACACCTTATTACACATAACTTATACAACCAGATTCATGAAGGCTTTCCTCAACTCTTTTTCAGGTTAAGGAATATACCGGTTACACACTGACGATTTCCACCGTCCTAGCATTTTAATTATGTGAACTGGAGTGAGAAGAAATCCCTCTTTGTGTTCGTTATTTCTCCCCTTTTCATTCGGTAGATGTAACTACCGAACAGAGACTACCCCCCGGCTCGTTAACTTCAAAAGCATGCTTCAATTAAACCCTCTACCTGTGCAGCCGCCGTTCGTATTGCCGAACGCCACTTTGCTGAGAAAATGGCGGCCATCTTGTTTGTGCAAACAAAGGCAGCAGGACTTGGTCGTCGAGTGTCTGGAACTAAAATCGGACACTCGACTTCCCGAATACCGGTCCCATCATTTACGAATGCTGGATCTTTGTTTCCCGAACAGCTAGGAGAGGGCTGTTCGGTACTTTTGCGCATTCGTATGACGGAAACAATCGCTGCTAGGAGCCAGGGGAAACCGTCCGTGGGATTATTCGTTTATTTCAACTTCACGAAATGGACCGGCAAAACCACCTAAACTCATGGAACTGTTTTGGGCAGCAGCCTCGTGGGAAGCCGGTCACCTAAGACCTCAATGGAATTTGAAAACCCCTGACCTGATCTGGGTGATTTTTGGATATGTTGGTCACCCAGAACAGGGCTATCAGGGGAATGACTTTTAAGGGGATACCCCATGTTTTTAGGGGTGTTCTAAAAGTTGGGGAAAACTGTACTTTTTCTGCCTGGAGATAATGAAGTTATTATATTATCTGCCTTAATTATCTCCAGGTCCAGGGGAGGGAATTGTATGTTTGCAATGGGAGTGTATAACTATTTTTCTTGTTGTTTTTATTGGCTGTACCTTGTCCCTCCCTGTGGGATGTCCCCTTGCACAGGGACTCGCATAAAAGCCAGTGTGGCATCATTAAATCACAGTTCTGTTGCCCCCTTCTTCTAGACCCCGGCTGAAGTTTGGGTGTTCGTATGCTTTACTAAGGGAATCGTCTGGTAAGTCTATTGCATTTGTATGGGAATTGTTTATTTTATCTGCCGAACAGAGAGGTATATGCTCTGGCCGTTCGGAAGGAAACTACCTACAGGAGTACTACATGGAGTATCATTACTGGACGCTGCTGATGCACCAATTCTGAACGAATGACCAGAAAACGAAGAAGGATTGAAACAGTCTTAGGAACAGAGTCAGAACATAAAATATAAATGTTGAGGTAATGAGAGGGTAACCTTGAAGTGTGAGTAGTTGTGAATTACATGGTTTATCCCTGATAGTTAGTTGGAATAGGCCTAGGACTTTTACTGGACACCAATTATTCCCAGAGAGGTACAAGGAAATTTCTAAAGGCTGGCTGGTTTGGTTGGACTTGGAATAATTACGTAATGATTAGTAACCTCCTTGATGTCTTAGCTTGAGACAAAGATGTATATCTGTCAGGGCTACCCCGGTACACTTACTAGGTCTTAAAAAGCCGTAAAAGGCTAAGTACATGTAGGTTTTAATGACATTGTTTGTGTGGGTGTCCAGTATGTCAGACAGAGCTCTGAATTTTGGTCCGTCTATGGGAAGTTGTTTGAGTGTAACAGGACAGTCTACTTTGTTAATACCTCTCAGTATATATTTATAGGATACAATCACAGGCAAGGTTTATGATTTGGGAAGCTGGTAAGTACGTGGGATGCTGCCCACCAGTTATATACAGTTTGACGGTATTGAGAGATAGTTTGAGATAAAGGTGGCAAAATGCATCAAACACCATCATGGATTGAATGGAATAATCATTCTTAATATGGAATTCAGTGGTGAACCAGGAAAATATGGCCATAGCTTTGTAAGTTTTTACTGTGATAGCAGCTAGGGCAGCTTGAGACAGTGTTCTGTAATGCTCCCCCGGGATACAGGCTGCTCCCCCTGTATAATACCCCCACCCCCGGGATACAGGCTGCTCCCCCTGTATAATAC